AAATAGTTTGTTTCAACAAACACACAGCTCCATACATACAGGAACAAAGATCAACCATATCTGATCCAAAGTAAAATAGCACTACATATATCATAACACAATGTGAATGTGCAGACAGTTAAAGCTAGGGCTGAGATGTTAAACCCATAATGTCTGCTTTCTATTAGACCCCACCTGTGAGCATCATTAACTCACTGATATATATATATATTTTCTTCTTGACAGATAAAATGCAAAAACACTGCTCGTTTTTCCCTGGGAGGATGACTGTCACATTCCGCAAGGGTCCGCTGGGATATCTGCGGCAGGATCCCACAGATGCAGCCAGACTTCTCAAAGACAACCCGTCTCTACAAGACCAGCATGCACCCGTGAAGGAGGCAGTGGTCAAGCAAAATGTGCTCACCGTAATCCGTATGAGAGGAGGGGATGCTTCTGATAGAACGGAGGTGGCTGGAGAATACATCCTGCAGTTTGGGAAATATAAGGGCAAGTCCTTCCGCTGGCTCCTTGAATATTGGGTATACCATGTACCTGATCACGAACCAGCAGAAGGAGGAGGCTGCAGGATTGTTCATGGCAGAGGGGCACAGCAAGGACAGCCTTCTGTCTTTTCTGAGCTATGCCCTCAGCTTTGGGGAGATCCAGTCACTTCGGGACTATGAGGCGAAGAAAACAGTTGTTGCAGCAGCAGTGTCAGAGGATGAGCAGCTGGTCGGCTTTGGCAATCGTGCCAAAAACACCTGGAGAGACATTTGGGACAGCAGGGATGATGGCTATGTCGCCTTCATAGTGAAGAAGAAATGTGCTGCAGGTACAAGGATGCATAGGCTGCAGCAGTACCTGCAGAAGAAGCTGCACCCCCCCTCTGGCTCCACTACGACACATCCCTCACTTGCTCCTGCTGAGGCCATGGGTGAGTCTGGTTTGTTGTTAGCTTTGTCAGAAATATGCTGTTGGTTAAGTATTGTTTATTAAAAAATAGGGAATACACTTCCATTATGTCAGTCGTGATTGTATCCACATTAATTACAGTAAAGACGTTTTGAAGGATTTTCTAAGTCTTGTCTGTTTGCATATAGGGATGGATCAAGATGAAGAGCTGGAGCAAGCGATGCTGAGTATCTCTCCTTCCAAACATGTGCAGAGCTGTGAGTGAACATGTTGTCTCTGATTGTTTTGCCTGAAGATTTAAAATCATGTATAGTTCAGCCTGTTCGCTATTATTCGTTTTTTTTGTATAGCTCAATATATGTTTATGCATCACTCTTTCTATTTGTTTTTTGCAGTGGTGTCTGCACCATCATCATCAGCAAGCCCACAACAAGCTCCAAGAAGAAAAAGAGGTTGATTTTTCTGAAAATTCCTGATGAACTCTGGGACCATGAATTATTTTCCCAAAATGACTTTCTGTCACATGTTGGCCATGTTATGGTCTGACCATGTTCTGGTCTGTTTGTCTTTGCTCTTCTACATGTTGTCCTAGTGACTATGAATTGAAACCAGTCATGTTGAGGTAAGTTACTGCTTTTGTTCTTATTTGGATTGAATGAAAAGTACACATTTAAACTGCTGTGGTCACTAACACTTGAACGCATGTGTTTGCAGTGTGCCAAGTTAATTCACCTGCTCAGACTGAGTTTTAATGACTGAATGCTGAATATTAATCCAAACAAAAGTAATGCATGTGTATGAATGAAATGTATTCTCTAAACATTAATATGAGAAACAGTGTGTTTCACTTTATAAGATCAGCAGGTGGAGTAAAGATGGGTGATGTTTGGTCTTACTAACATAATTACTTATTTCTATATTGCCATAATATTAATAAACTGACACACTTTTCTATTTGAGTATCTTCTGCTACCCTCTTCACACAAAGTCAACTGAAGGATTCACTAGTAGAAGGTAATGCATTGTATTACTGTTTATACATTCAAACCTTGAATCACATTCACTGTGAATATGTCATGTTGATGAATCTGTTGGCCATCCCTCCGTGCAGCCCCTGCTCTGCCTGTAAAGAGACTTGTGCCCCTTCCAAAAGAGCTGATGTTTCTGATGCCGGAACCATCCGCCCTGACACCAACAGAGACCAACATCACTGTTCCAGGTGTGTATATGTTTGACTCTTTGTACCTTGTACAGTTTTCTGACTACAGTGAAGATGCTAAGTGTCATACAACATTATTTCTTTATTTTACTGTTGATAATAATGACATGTTTTAATATTTTCTATAGTGGCTCCTGAGATTTCTGCAGATGTCTGTCAACCGACACTGCATCCACCAGCTGCACCAACACAAAGTGAGTGATACTAACAATAATAATACATCACATGTTTGAGGCACCTTCAAGTGTTTGAATGTTTCTCATTTGGATGTGTACTTGCTAAAAATCATTTTTCAAAAAATCACACACACACACACACACAATCGTAATTATTTGCCATGTATTTTTATTTATTGTCTGCCTAGGTCAGCCATTACCCATGCCATCAACAGGTAAAAAAATCATGATGAGATACACTCAAGGTCTTTAATCT